TGCTTCCGTGTGTGTTAGTGGGACAGAGAGAAGAGCAAAGAAGAAGGAAAGATGGATTCGAACGAGCACAAAAAAGCCGCTCTATATGAGAAATTGGAACAGCTTCGTTCTGCTACTAATTCCACTGCTGTGCGTATAGAATTGCTAAACCTTTTCAAATTTTATTAATTTTTTCTCTCTCTTTTGATATCTTAAACACATCTGCTGTATAGCCTAAGGTTATCATATAGAGGAAAGGATGAATAATATTCTCAATTTTCCTTTTCCTTTTCTAAAGAACTTCATATTGGTTTTCCATATGAATGGGTAGAAAAGGAGAAAAACTGGGCAAAGGTAGGTACCTCCCTTTTGCACTAGTTTTGTGCGAGTAATATGCCCATTTATAGTTACTCTCGGATGGTGAAGATGTTATTAGTTGACACTTAGCTGGGACGGAGCGGTGGAGGCAGGGGTGGAGCTAGTGGTCGTCCCCTCAGCCTCCCACCCCTAATTAATATAGGGAAAAAATATTTATTAAAAAAAAAAAGTTTTCATATTAGCCCATTCCAATAAAATTTTCTGACTCCTTCCCCAATGGATTAGTCCAGGTTCTTAGTTTTTGTACTCCAACATGAAATTAATATTCCGTGTATTTTTTCTTCACCTCCAAATAACATTAATTCTGAAAAGTAGGTGATGGTGAATTGCTGGGTGCAAAATTTTCTAAGTTTTCTCTTTATTACAAATTAAACTCCTATATAGAGGTTTGTTCTCCTTGTTTACAGTAAATATTTGTGGTCTTACAGATGAATACAGCATCAATAGTTGTAGATGCATCAAGGTACATCGAGGAGCTGAAGGAAAGGGTTGAAAGACTAGATCAAGATGTTGTAACTTTACAAAATTCAAATGAAGAAAACTCCTTAACAGCTGTATACTTTTCATTTTCCAAATTACGACTCTTTTTTTACTGTTGTTTTTCTGATTTTGCCTTTACGTTCTTTCATAATTCAGTTGATCAGAAAAGTTGACAAAATATTTCTACTGCATTATACTCCAGCAGGTTAAAGTTGAATCGCTGGAGAAGGGCTTCTTAATTAATGTGTTTTCAGAAAAGAACTGCCCCGGATTGCTTGTCTCCATACTTGAAGCATTTGAGGAACTCGGCCTTGAAGTGCTTGATGCTAGGGTTTCTTGTTCTGATAATTTTCGTCTTGAAGCTGTTAGTGAGGTAAAAAAAAAGGGTTATCGATACATCATTTCTTTTTAATCGAGTGCTTATATATTTAAACCGTAACACAAAAAACTGAATATTATTGAACAGGCTAAGCGAATAGATTTTCTTAACTGCATTTGGTTAATAGTTACAACTATCAAAAAAATCGAAAAAGAAAAAGAAAAAGAAATCTTTTTGAAGAATTATTTATATGATACGTCCAAAATTTTCGTGCTCCTGATTAAACATCAAGTGTGACCTGCTGAAATCTTCCTCATAATTTGTACCACGAGTTTGATATTTTGGTTTTTTTGCTGACTACTTTAATGTAATTGTTTTATCTAATATTTCAGTACAATAATATTATATTTTGATATTACTGCCTGCATGGAATTTAACCGCCCAAACGTATTTTGTTGGAAAATATAAGAAGAGTTTTATTTCCGGAATGATGGACAGGCCGATAGCATAGATGCCCAGGTTGTTAAACAAGCAGTATTGCAAGCTATTAGGAATTGGAGTGTCAACAATGAGCAAGACTAATATGTCTTCAACGGTTTATTAATTATTTTCTAATGATGTAAAGTATTTGTGTAATTGAAATTATTATTGTTATGATTGTAAGAATCAAAGGACTAGAACTTGGGGTGGTAATTTTCATGAATAATGTTATATAACACCATTGATGCACAAGGTAACATTATATCATTGGTACTTATTCTTTGTTAGCGAGTAGGGAACATATACCACTTAATGCATACTTTACTTATAACTACTACAAAATGGGTTGCTTACCATATGAACTGCGCAACCTTAGGACAAAGTACAACCTTATTACTAAGCCCTTGTTTGAGCCCCATTTTTGTGGAGAAAATGAATTTTTGAATAGTGTATTGATGGAAAATGTGTGGTTAAAAAATAAAGAAAAGTTTTTTATTTACGTATAATATTATTTTATTGAAAAATATGTGGTTAAAATATTGTCAAATCACTGTTGAAAAATGTATTTTGGTGAAAAAATGGGGCTCAAACAAGGGCTAAATTTAACTTTTTATGCATTATAATGAAAACATGTCAATAATAACAGACCAAAAAAAAAAAAAGTTATTTATTCTACAAAATGTGAGATTTATTTACATACAAAGTGTTTGTTGGATTTCATTATAATCTCTTTATAATTTAAAGTCAAAGTCAAATAGTAACACATTCACAAATATCCATTATTCATCTTCATTATAATAATATTTTAATTTTTCCCAAACAAGGATAAAGCTTGTAGCACCATTATTTGTAACTTGCCTTTCAAAAACTACAAGATGTGTCTAAAAGTGCACTAAAAACATTAGGCTGTACAAAAAGAAACGAGTAATGCTACTTTTCTCCATTGAAAGTTTTCCCAATATGAGACATTAAGGGCCAGGTTGACAGGTTCCAAATTTCATGGAAAATGAAATTATTTTCCACCCAAATGGTATCTTTGATAGGCAAAATTTTCATAGAATTGGTTTTCCATATTGTCCCTCACGTGACCCCCTTTTTCATGTTTTGAAGGAATTGGTTTTCTAGCCCTTTTTTTTAGCAATTGAAACAAATTATGTCCAATATGAGACATTAAGGGCCAGGTTCACAGGCTCCAAATTTCATGGAAAATGGAATTATTTTTCACTCAAATGATGTGTTTGATAGGTAAAATTTTCATAGAATTGGTTTTCTATATTGTCTTCCACGTGACCCCCTTTTCCATGTTTTGAAGGAATTGGTTTTCCTTTGATTTTGGTGAAAATTGGTTTTCAAGCTTATTATTATTATTATTATTATTATT